ACCGGATTCGAAAATTGTAATTCTCCGCCGTCCCGAAAACTCATTCAATCAGCCGTATTTCGACGATAGAATACTATTAACATTTACGACCGAAGGATGCGCGCAATATCCTCTCTTGCAAACTAATCCGTAATTTTAAGATGCATTAAAAAAGCGTTTAAAGTTTAGACGGACATCGAAATGTAATAATAAAGTCAATAAATTTAAATTGCAAATTTTTAATTTTAATAAAATGTATAATTTATTTATATTCCACACGAAGAAAATTATTCCGACTGTGAAGAGAATATATTAATATAATGATTGTTAAAATCAGTTTTAATTATTGTGAGAGCGAAGAATTGTCTCTTGTCTTCGAAAACCCATATTTCCGTTTGACTCTCAAGAGAGTTCGTCCTGTTTAGATTGACAGTCCCGAAAACTTAGACAACTAAAACCCTGAATCTTTTCAAGAGTCCTAAGCCTAAGACTCTACAAGATGAATCACAAACAAATGTCAAGTATTTTCGCATGTAGTCTCCATTTGGAATAAATAAAAATTTTAAACAAGATCCACTAATATAGAAAATGTTAACTGCAAGCAAAACCCATAATTTTCAAGCTTTATTTATCGATGCAAATTTAGATACAACATTTATGGCACAACTATCTTGCTTTCCAGTAATACAGGAAGCACAAACGATAATATGGCATAATTACATATAAAATATAATGACGAAATAATGGAAATATAGCTGCTAGCTATAAATCGCAGTGATTTGATCGTTCATCGAATGCGATAAACTTCCACTCCGTCACGTGCGCGGTCTGTCATTAGAAATTAGGCTGCGAGATTTACGATAACGGGGCGTTATAGCGGCGTGATATGCGGCCGTAAAGCACAGGATCGGACGGATAGCTTTAAATTTCTATGGACGAGTCAATCATCATTTCGAATTCCCGGAGGCGAGTCGGTCATTGCGAAGTTTTACTACCTGTTGCCCAGCTTCCGCGGCCGAAGAATGTGTGCCTATTGGATTTTCGTTCTTTCAATCTCCAATAGCAGGTACGTTTCATCGCTTTTTCACGTAGCGTTGAATTTTTCACCCTTAGAAATATATTAGACTTGAAGATAGAAAAACTCTCGCGTAATCCTAAAATTTAACATTTGCAAGCGTTAGAAATTTTTTAAAATTCAATACGGCTGCAACATAATTCATCGTTTTCTAAATATTCGTAATAAAATTTTTACAGTTTCAAACATTGTTTACACATAATTTGATCATTATATGTTAAATAGCGATGGAAAAAAAAGTAACATCTTCTCAAAATTCACATCAAAAGCGTCAACTGAAGGTTGACAAAAGCTAGAAAAACCACGATGAGAACTTTTATGCGGCAAAGTAGCGGGTTTGCCGCTTTTTGTTCCGATAAAGTCGAGAGATAATCGTGATCGCGTTTTTGCCGGTTAATAATGGCTCGTCTGTTTACAGCGCACGATTTTTTACACGTCGAGGGCAAAAAGTCTGGACGCTTAGCGACCGGCTGGCGAGCAAGAGGAGAGAAAATTGGCGAGAACAGAATCGCAGGAAACGATTCGCGTCGCGTTTCAAGCGATTTGAGCGAGCGCGCTTTGGTTTTCCCGCTCCGCCGAGCATTCCGCGGCGATTTATGTTCTACGAGCAATTAAATGTACAATTAGAGTGCCGAGTATTAGCCGAAGTGCGTGCGTGTATGCACGCCACGTTGATACGTGTGCGCCGCTCTCACTGGCGCCAATATACGCGATGTTAAAGGAAGCGTCGATATATCGTAACGCCAGGAGTCTAATTAGTTAGGCTGATCGTTCGGTTTCTTGCGGCGCGCGCGATTATTTATAGCAGTTCGCTCTGCTGTTACCAATCTTGTACCTGTGTTAAACTTCCGAAAAATCTAATATAAGACAAGTATCGCGGCAATTCGCGAAGAGAACAAATGTATAATGAAAATCCTTCGTTGAACGCGATAGCATTTGGGAATACAAAATTTCATTTCACAACAAAGTTCAAAAGATACGCCATTTCCAAGTTTTAAAGGAATGGAATAAAATATAAAAAGTTCAATTGTAAGAAAAAAAAAGCTTTAGCATTGCAAAATCGGTCGGCTAAAGAGATTAATAGTTATTCGGCAAGAATAACGGAGTGAAATGAAAATATGTTAATTCGCGAATTAATAATTACAATCGTAACAACGTTGTGTGACGTAATATGGATGTAATACACATGTAAAGTGCCTGATACACAGACATTAATCTTGCGTTGCCGAGTGCCAAGCCTGCATTTACATTCAGAGTGCATTTATCTCGCGGCTGTGTGCGCGTGTGCGTGTGTGTGTGTCTCTCTCTGTGCGCGCCGTGCCGTATATAATAAGGTGACAATAACTATATACGGGTGCGACTGTCGTGAGATTTCTTTGGGAATTGAAAGAGTGATGTACGAAGAAAAGAAGAGAAAGGGGAGAAGATGGCACAGGAACGGCGAAGGCGACGACGTCGGGAATGCGCGGTGCAGCCGGTGCGACCGCGCAAAAATCCGCGACTCCTAGGAGCGACCTAAGGTTCTCTCTATTTCTGCCATATAAGTACACACGTGCGTCCGAGAGTGCGATGAACGCGAACCTGCGACCTCGCCGAGATTCCCTTAACGTCGTCGCAACAGTGAGAGCCCGGATGTAGCAAAGTGCAACGTAACGGAGCGAAGTGGTTAATTGCTCTTGACTTTTTTAGATTCTTTCTACACGAATATACGTAGACACATTGTTGAGTCGTCGTTGAATAATTCATTTTGGTTTTGAAAATTGCGGGCTTCCACGTACGTAAAATACAATCTTGGTCAATCAATTTTTTTTTCGGTCCTTTCGAAGTGAAATTATAAGATGTATAATTTTTTTGTTGCAGTTTTTCGTTGCAGGATATTTTATGGGCGAAATGTAAGTTTCCATTGCGTTCGCCTATATCATGCGCGGGCATCTTCAGCACCGAGGATCGCAAAGAGGTTACTGTGTTGTAGGGGTAACGCAAGAGAAATGTGGCATACTTAGAGAATCGCGAGATGAACGCGAATCTGCGGCGTCTAATGTAACGCGAAATCTCGCGTCGAAAATGCAGGATTCTGCATTCAGGATAGGAAAAATTAAATTTGATTTTTCTCCCAAAATCATATCTAAGTAAAAATATCCTTCTTATCATTTTAATTTCTCACTTCAGTTTCTTTCATTTTGAATTTAAATAAAAGTTGTTCGCGAAGTCGCTCAAATTTATAAAAAAAAAAACGTACGATTTATGATAGAACATTTTTAACTCAATTTAAATATTTGTTACTTTAAATTTATGAAGCTTCATCATCGCGAAGTCGATTGGATAAAAAGACTGATGGTTGTAAAAATTGCTTCAGATGAGGAAGCAAATTTTACTTGCACTTATTATCTTATATTGTTGATATTATTATATAAATCTTACTTGCGTAAGTTTGCGATATGAAAAAGGAATATACGCGTGATACATCGATTCTTGCATTTTTTTGGAATGTTTGAATCAAGATAAGAACGCATTGATTTACGGTACGCACGCTCAATAAATCGAATCGTCAGATCGATAAAGCGCGATAACGTATCAGAGGGTTCCGTCGCATCGTACGCATCCGGAAAAGATCGATCTAGGCGGAAAAACTTGATTGCAATTACTTTCGTGTTCAATCCTCTCCGTCGACAATCTAAATCGCTGTTCCACAACGATCCACGCGTTAATGAACCACATAATAATCTTTCGAATTACGATCACACTATCACATTAAATTCAATCGTGCGAACAAAACACTGGCACATCGCGAAAATCGCGATCGTTTCGCGAGCAAAAGTACACGATACCGAGCGCTGCGCGTCTCGACGCCAACTGAGCGCGCAAAGCGCGATCCACGCTCCACGACGATCAACAAGGCCTGAACGACGCTCAATCCTATTGGTCGACACACCAAGATCTTCGTGATCCCACCACCATACAGATGCAGGTGCATTTTGTGAGACCGAATGCGCTGCACAACGCGCGCTTTTCAAAGCAAGAACGCTCGCATTTAGTCGAATATCGATGCTTTCATTACTTTAATTAAATATTTAAAAAAATTTAAACAAGTTTATTTTATCGATTGAATTTTTATTTTTTTTTTTTATATATATATATATATATATATATATATATATATATATATATATATATATATATATATATATATAATATAATATATATATAT